AATGATTTGTTAAGTGTGGATAACTTCTTCATAATTGGGTGCAGGTGCATGTTGAGTTATAAATACGGATAATATTTATATGTCTAGGCGAATGGATACAATTAATGTGGTCATGTAAAGTTCAAATCGCTCTCACCTTAGCACCACACCAACTAAACAAATAATCAACTTTGCTAGTTCTAGTCAGACAAAAAGTGAAAATACTTGTCTTCAAATAATCTTTAAATATATACTAGTCTTCTAGAGTGATCAGATATTTCTGTATATATTTCTCTAGGTTCCCATGCTAGACCACAAAGAAGGAAGTGGCAAAGAGAGGTCCTTAAAGAAGTGAGTTGAATTGATTTCCTTGTTTTTTATGCTTTCGCTTCATTTCCTTGCCAATAATTTGTTCCATTATTTCAGTTACAAACATTTGTGATGCTATTATTGCGAAGACCTTAAGCACATATTGACGGTATGTGGATTCAGTAGGCTTTCATTGTGGATATTTATGCTGTGTTTGGCGTAATTTCTCAAAGTAAAAGTTCATCCTTAAGATGGACTTTTTAAAATAGACCTTTTAAGATGGACTTTTTGAAATACGTAACTGTTTGGTAAAAGTGTATTTTAGAAATATTTTTGAATCAATGTCTATCTATAACTAGTGATGTTTATCTACAACTAGCTATCCATGTCTATTTATAACTAGTGTTCTAATACAATATATCTTTTTTTACTTTCTATCTTATAATATGAGATATGTAAATTAACTATTAAGCAAGGTTATAACACATATTTAATTGCAAAAATTAAGGCTAATATTGGAAAGCAATGTGTAATTAAATATCACTTCCTGTATAAATAGGATAGTTTTAAGAAGCTCCCCTAAGAGACTTCTCTATAATGGGCATTTTGAATGTGCACTTTTTGATAAGTCCAAATTTTTTTGGACATCAAACAATTTTATCTATTTGCGAAGTGTTTTCACCTGTAGGATGAACTTTTGAGTTATCCGCCAAACTGGCCCTTATCCTTTTGGTTTCTTTGTCTTTTGGCATATTATTGTTTTTTTTTTTGAACTATGAATACATAAGTTACACCAACTCTAACAGTTTAAACTTTTGAAATAAGTAATTGTTTAACAATCATTTCTCTCTACCATCCCGATACCTAGCTTGAGGGTTAGGAATTGATCACATCCATGCTATGAGTTAAACAGAAAGTCAATACTTTACTTTCTTTTGGAGGACAAATGACATTGTATCCCTCAAGTAATTTAACATTAATATATTTTATTTTTCCTCTCAAAGATAAAATGTCTCGCACCGCAAAACCAAGGTGATGTTAGTGTTTTCTTCTGTAAAAACATAACAATGGCACTTTACTCTTGAAATTATTTATTTAATTTTTTTTTTCGAAATGTAAACTTGTAATAAGACAAAAAAAATACAAATGTACTAAAGAAAGCTTGCACAGTCAAGCCATGATCAGAACACCACAAAGAAGGCAAAGCCAACAAAAGAAGACATTAAGATAGAAATAGAACAAATGACTTTACTGCCCCCCTAATCCCATCCCTGGGCAGTAGCAAAGCACAAAAACTCTCAAACAAGACAAATAGAGGAAAGGTTCTAATGATGCAGTAAGAGTAGATTTTGAGGATTGGCCTAGCACTTAAGTACATAATGTCTTTCTTTGATAGTTATCTGAATCCTGAAATGCAAACTTTGTTGGGATGTAACCGAATTGTTAAAGATCTTATTGTTTTTCTCCCTCCATAAGTTTTAAAGAGTGATAGAGAGGCAGAGCTTGAGGAGAACAACCTCCAAAGATTTTCTTTTCCAATTAACACTTGCCTAGACAATGAAGTCATTCCATTGGAGAGCTTGAGTTTACTGATTACATTGCTGCATCAGCTGAGTCCGAATACCAAAAACATAGGAGCACTCAAAAACAAATGATGATGAGATTATGAGAGGTAATGACACAAAGAGCAAGTGAGAGCAATAATAACAAATAATAAGTTAAAACTGATAATAGGAGTGTGAGTTAAAAACTGCACAAGGAAATGACCGATAATAAAATTTCGTGATATATTGTAAATGTTAAAACTTTTAAAGATCAAGTTATATTTTTTAAAATCTAGTAAAAACTAATTAAGATCATTAATGATCGATAACAAAAATTCATGATCGATCACCACTGTCACCACCACCGCCATCCCACCATCACCTCTACCACAACCACCACTTATTACTTCCATTGGTACCCACCGCCACTGTCGCCACCACCGCCATGCCACCACCACCTCTACCGCAACCACCACTTATTACTTCCACCGGTGCCCACTGCCGCCATCTACCACTATCATCATCTAATTCTTACATTTATTCTCATTACCACCATCATTTCACAGCCACCATCATTTCACCACAAACCACCATCACTTATCATCGCCCACCACCGCCGTCACCCACTATCACCCATACCCACCAACACCGCCACCCATTATCACCCATACCCACCACCTTTATTCACACTCACCGCCACCATCATAGTTGTCACCCACGGTTGTCACCATTACTACCACAGTCATCGTTACCCACTACAATAATCACTGTCTTCCACCACCACCATTGTCGCCCACCAACACCACCACTGCTCACCCTCACTACAACTGATACTTAAATTCCTCTCTTTCTCTTTTACATTTTTGATTTAATTTTGAATGTAAATATAAAGATGTTCATGACTGATATTTTTTTTATTACTCTGTATCTTCAAGCACGAGTAATAACTAGTTTTAAATATATCACCAATCCAACAAAAAAATAAACATTAAGGTAATAGGTGTCACTTTAACTTCAATAATTTCACATCATTATCGGTTTAACTCATGAGACCCATTTAATAGATGAGTTGACACGAGTTTGAGTATACCTAATATGATTATGACCCACATAATTTAGACATGACACCAAATTCAAAATAATGTATTTTCAAAATAATGTATTTGCAGTCCTATTATAACAGATCTGACAATCTCAGATTAATTTTTAAAATTGTATTTTTAGCTTAAATGTTTATATTATTATCGAATTCAAATTTTCATCTTCTACAATTATGTTTTTCGCGACAAATACCAAAGAAATCTCTTTTGTTGAGAAGATGGCTATATTGACAAAGTCATTCATATTGAGAAAGCTCGTAGACACACAGACTCCTACTCCTTTGTTGCTTACCAAATGCCAATATTACCAGAACTGGACCGGTCAATGAACCGGCAAGGGGACCGGGTCAATGGTTCACTGGTTCAACCGTTGGGTCAACTGATTGGATCGGTCATATAATAAAAAAATAAAAATATATATATAATAATTATAAAACTTAATAATTTAGCTAAAAAATATAAAATATGTATAAAATACATATAATTTGCCATAAAATTAATGAAATTAAGTAACAAAGTGGGGGTTATTGTATTTTAAAGCAAAGTAAAGGGGTTCAAGTAAATTATAAAGAAAAAGAAAGGGTGTCATTTATAATTTATCCAAGAATAATGTTAAAAAAAATTAACTATTTACTGATTTAGGGCAAAAAAATTTATTTATGTAATTTAATTTTTAAATAGGCATTAAACCGGCTGGTTTTTATAAAATCGGCGGTTCACGATTTTTGTTAAAAACCGGCCGATTTTTTGGTTTTTAGCCGGTTCGCTTCCTTAAGCGGTTCAACTAAAGAACCAGACCGGTTAGGGTCCCAGTTCACGGTTGAACCGGTCCGGTTCTGATAACAGTGCCAAATGCACATGAATTTGGCAAACAAAATTTCGTAAGGATTTCGTCCGAGTGGCATTGTTGATTTCTATTTGTTGGAATTTGAGAAATAAAGGATGTGAATATTTCTAAAATGGGAACATATCTTGAGAGTTATAAATGGGAATATTTCTAATGGGTTTTCTTTAAACTGAGTGTTTCTCGACGGTAGTTCGCTTTATAATCAAAAGAGAGTTTTATTTATGAGTAATGTTACATTAACTTAAAATGCTGATTCAATTTGTTGACTTCACCAACCACATCCATTGATTTAGATGTGGGTCACATAATTTATTAGAACTCACTAACTATTCAATGATTATGATTGATCAAGTCAGCATTTTAAGTCCATATAATATTTTTCCTTATTTATACAGGAGGATTATCAACTAGTTGTTATCAATCACCTAATTAATCTCGATGACCACCAATATTTCCTCAACTTTCTGCCATTAAAGTAGGCTAAAATACTCTAAGTATGATTTAACTATCTTGACCTAATCTTTTATTACTTGATGGGTCGCTCTATCAAAGTTATTCATGCTAACTAGAAAAGATTCAACACAAATGTCCAATCACACCGATGCATAATATACGTATATATGCTCTATTAAAAAATAATAGTTGATACATAATGATTTTATAATAATTGCATCTATGATATATGACATAATTTTCCCCTTTTACGGTGAATATATTGAACTATTGAAGGTCAATTGTTTTAACAGGCTGGAAAAGGAAATTCTATATACCTTTTTTATGCCCTGCTGCACCAAGAAATCATTATGGTTCAATGATTTGAGATATTTGATTTCATAGATTTTTACTTATTAACAACTTTAAGGACAAAATTGTGGTGACAAGTTAGAACATCTTTTGTTCCTCGCACAAAATTTGAAAAGGATTTAACAAAAAAATTACTTACTCAATTCCTCAGACACAAGAAGACGATACCGTAAAAACCACTTATACAACATAGAATTTATTGTACTGAAAGAGAATTGGGTCTATCCCTTAATATCACAAAATCATGAAGAGTTCAAAAACATGCCTGCAGTTTTGATTAGAGCAGGGTCACCATTGGTGAATGCATCACCTCACAGAGCGAACAATTTTTTCTTTTTGCACAACAGAATCCAGAATTTTGAGCACAACAGTTACAAAATCATAAAGTGCCTACTCGCATGATGTTACTACCAGATTTTAGGCAGTAGCCCCTGCTTGAGCTGCAAGCCTCTTCAATAATAGACAGCTTGATACCCTTGCCCTTAGGAACTGATACCCATGGTTTTGTTCCCTTGCCAATGGTGACACATTGCCCAAACGAGTTGCAAATTCATGCCCAGTAGCATCCTGGACGTGGATAGTCTCAAAGGTACCCTTGTGCTTCTCCCTGTTCTTTATGACTCCAACACGTCCCCTGTTCCTCCCTCCAGTCACCATGACCACGTTCCCCACATCGAATTTGATGAAGTCGGTGATCTTCTTGCTCTCGAGGTCAAGCTTGAAGGTGTCGTTGGCCTTGATAAGTGGGTCGGGATAGCCGATGGTCCGCCCGTCATAAGTGTTTAGGTATGGGATACCTTTCTGCCCAAACCGCACAGATCGAACTTTGCAGAGCTTAAACTTAGCCTCTTCATCCCTTATTGAGTGGAGACGGAACCGACCTTTGGTATCATAAAGGAGACAGAAGTTCTCATTTGTTTTGGGATTGGAGACAACATCCATGAATCCTGAAGGGTATGTTTTATCTGTCCTGACCTTTCCATCAACTAGAAGATGCCGTGGCCTCAAAATGGCAATGACCTCACTGAAAGTGAGAGCATATTTCAACCTGTTTCGCAAGATGAGAATCAATGGCAAACACTCCCTAGATTTGTGAGGTCCAGATGATGGCCTGGGAGCAAATGCTCCTCCAAGTTTGTCCAGCATCCAATGCTTGGGGGCATTAAGCCTCTTCAAATGCTTCTTCAACCCTCTAGCCATTTTGAATCTATTCCGACACTCTGCTAAGCCAGCACTGCTCTTCGACGCTGGAGAGAGAGAGAGACGGTGTCAGTCTAGAAGCGTGAGCACACACAGAACGAACAATCTCCATTGATGAGATGTTCTTATCTCACATACTAATATAATGTGCAAAGTACACATTTCCTCTATATGCTAGTGACCTGTTCTCGGTCCCAACACACCACAAATGGCCTTGCAGCTCCAAAACTCCTTTCATTCCAGCCATTCCCCACACAAACTTGAAGAGCACAAGAGCCTTGTCCAATTGTTTCACCCCACACCAAACCATATTCTCCTGAGCTGATGTCAAAATTTTCCCCATACAAATAGAATCCATTGCCTTGACCACTCTCATAAACCCCACCACAAAAGTTCAACTTCAATATCTCTTAAACTGCCATAGAGATAAAACAGTAGAAGTGTAAACAAGCATCTAGATGAGTGACCCAACATCTTTGTGAGCTTCTTCTGCGCTAAACTCTCTCCATGCCTAGTCTCCCTGTACCCAATATTTTAATCTATCAAAACATTCTTGATCTGGGAAAGCCCTTCTTTCATCACCTCGAGCTTCGAAACATATAAAAGAAACTCCTTTTCATCTCTCAAGCAATTTATAAGGTCATTGAACATCTCAAGAACATCTTCCCATTTAGGGGACGCGGGTGAATCCGCAACTTTTGCAGGTGCAAGGCGCATCCATGACACTGAATCAGGGTCATAAGAAATTTGCTGACCCATTATAATCCCTTTAGGCGGGAACCCATGATTCAGAGAATTCATGTCAGATTTCTATCCATTTAATACCTCCTCAAGTGCACCAGTCCATACTCGATGTTGTGTAACCTAAGGGCAAATTGTGAGACGAACTAACTTCCTTTGTTGAGCAGAAACATTAAAAAAGTTACTCACTTTGGTGGGTGAATTCACAGATATTGGTTCTCTTTCGCTTGATCTACTGAAGTAGAGAGGTGGTCTGCATTTTGCATCAGCAAATGAAGCTGAAATATTCTTTTTGAGTGTTTCCTGCACCGATGGACACCAAAAAAAGTACCTGGCGAAGGACTTAAACATGTGCATTTTGAGCTCAAGGCGTTCGTTGGCGACTGTGTAATGATCATTTATATTTACTAGCCTCCCATCAATCAAATCCACATCTTTTAACAAGAGGGTTAATTTTGCTAGCTTTGGAAATGCCTTTTGGTACCATTCGGAAGGTAAAGGCTCCTTATGAGATTCTTTTGAGCAGTGATAGAACACCACACTTAAACCAAAAACTCTGTTTTGCTTGGTCCTCAGATTCTTTGGTCCACAGAGGAAGAACTACAAATGCTTATAGGCCATCATTAGCACGGCAAAGCTACCATAAATTGTGCGACTCCCATCAGCAAATCCACTCAGTGCTTGCTTCTTAGATTCCTGCAAGTGGGTTTTTCAGTTTTCCAGTCTGAAACTAATTCTGCAACATCAAAGCCCAAATTAAAGCGTCAGGGGTTGTGATTCTTTGATACATTTTATCAAACACATGCATGTTGGGCATTTTCTTCTCCAAATAATAGCAACCATTGACAAAGCCAAGGGACAATGGAAATCACAGATCATTCTGGCCAGCTTTATTTCTGCAATTAAAACAAGCTTATATACAAGCACAAAGACGATTTGTAGGACAAATTGCTAATAATGTTCTGGCTGGGTTAATTTCTTAATAGGAATTAAAGAAAGAATAGTTGTTGTTTTTGGAAGAAAATAAAAGAAGGAAGATTTTGTATCCAAATGATTTTTGGGGATGGATAAACAATAAATGCAAAGCTATAGGGGTAGCACATGGAGGGCAGGTGCCTTAGCTCAACCTTCCTTTTACTCTTCTTTAATTATTGAGCAATGTTATGATTGCATTTTACTATTATTTCATTGGTCATAATTCATTATATCAATAAATTATATTCCTCAATTATATTTCAATAACATTAGTATTAATCATTTTGGGCCACAAGTTCCTAAGGTCATCTTCGACTTTAACTCAATTTTTTATTTAAATTTAAGTGAAAAATTTAATTTGATATAAAATATTTCAATTAACTGACTCAAATTTAAAATAAAGTGAAATAGGACTATTAGATCTTTAAAACTGAGTAAAATCTAACTATTAAAAATTTTAGTCTTTCTTGTTACCCATACTCAAGTTTGACAAACCTAGCTCAACTTGCACCCTTGTTGATCAATCATGTACTTGGAATTTACATTTGTTTGTCATTAGTTTTTGATTTTAGTTTCTTTTGGAAACCAGTATCCGGAGAGCATTACGGTTACCTATGCTTTATAGAGACTAGCTAAAAGAAAAGCAAACTAAAGGGAAAAAGAAAGTGATGGCCCATCTCAGGGAGACCATGTGAAGAAAGCCCCTTCTCATCCCTCCTTTGTGCTCTTCCACTATGGGATTGCTGTATCATGAACCGATGCTCTACCTTAATGAATCTTGCACGAGTGAATTCCTACAATGAATGGAGATAACGACCTATTAGATGACGAACTTGAAACAATAAAAGATGTTAGGAAAGAAACCGGGCAAACACCCAGCTAATTCCCTCTGAATCTTAAGTCGGTCGACATTGGAGACATGAGCACAAAGTATTTTTGCTGGGTTCTGTTTTGTGTACCTTTGTTCCCCTTTTGCTAGAGTATTTATACCTAGACTAATAATGATTAAGGGGTTTGTGAGTCCCATCTTAGCATTTAATGGCTGACACTCATATCCAAGTATAATGAGTGAGATCTAATCAAACCTCCTCAAGGTAGACCTCTTGGGAGAATAAATCTGTGCTCAGGGTCCGCCTAGCATTAACTCCCCTTCGCCAATCATTTGAGAGTCTCGACTTGGTGCTTGACAACTACGCCTGAGCATTAACTGTTCAGGAATAATCACCTTGGGTTTTGCTGAGGATAAAGGAACAGAGTGATGACCATTAATGCTTTGCAATGATGACAGGCTCTATGGGTCTCGAGGACACAAAGGTTCATTAATAGTCTTGTCACAGTTACTCAAGTCGTCATTAATTAGCAGTCATGTCCTATTTAATGTTGAGTTCAATCGGTGTATGCTCTGCTTTTCTGGGTCATAATTCCTCGGCTCCTTCTCTTGGCGCTTTTTGAGATCTATAATGACTAAAATCTACGTGTCAACTTAGGTCTGTTGAGCCGCCTAAAGTCCCATTAACTGTCCCTCCAGTCTCCATTTTTCTTGCGATGTGGGACAAGTGGCGCATGGATAGGGCTGTCAAAATTCAACACGACATGAGTAACCGACACGAATTGACATGAATTAAGAAGGTTTGGATGAGATCTTAACGGATTTAGGTGATAAACGAGTTAACACGCCAAACACATTTAATAAACGGGTCGTGTTCGGGTAAGACCTGTCAAACTGTTTATCACATGTTTATCCGTTTAAATAAAATTAATATAATAATAAATTAATAATTATTTTTAAAAATTAGCAAGAAATAAAGAAATCGATTCAAAAAAAGAAGTAAAGTAGTAGTTCAAAGATAAAAGAGAGGAGATGAGGAGCACTTCAAAGAGAAAGGCAAACCAATACTTTTTGTTTTTGTCCCACATTGGAAAATGAGGGGAGATGGGGAGGGTTGAGTTGCCCATAAAAAACAATAACTTCTTGCTCTTTTTTTTTTTAACGCCTTCAAGTTTAATTTTTATGAGATTTGACTAAAAATTTCTCTTTTTTTGGATAAGTGCAGTTGACAATAAAAAAAAGTGGTGTATTAAAATTTGTTAATATAATTTTTTAAAATTAAACAGGTTAAACGAGTCGTGTCGTGTTACCCATTTATTAAACGAGTCGTGTTCGTGTTGAGATTTTTTATCCGTTTGTTAAACGTATCATATACGAGTTTGTATATTTTTCACCAATCACCTGTTTAACCCGACACGTTTGACATCCTTATGCATGGAGAGTGGAGGCTTCCTGAGCACGCTTGAGTTTTAGGGGTGGTTACTAGCACATCTGGCATCGCGTTTTTCAAATTTTCATTTGATGATTTGCCTCTTCGATTCCCGCCCATGCTTCAGGGTATAAATAGGAGATTGCTTGTCCTCGAATTCTCTATCTGTAATCAACTCCCGAGCAAATATCTTTACTCTCCCGAGCGATTGTCCTATTCCCCCGACCACCTCTTTCGGAGATCTTCCACCTGTAAGTACTTTTCTTCCCACAATCTTTTCTCCATTCTTCTTCTGCATTTCTTCAAAACTCATCTATGGCTAGAATACAAAGAACCATAGTGAGGGAACCTATTAGGTCTAGTGAAATTGGTAGGTTGAGGAAAACCGAAGTAAAAGATACTAATCTTTATGCTTTTAGGGCTAAGTACAACATTCTCGAGCCCCTTTTTACTTTTGTATTTGATTCTAGGTTCCATAGGACTAACATAGGCAGTATGGAACTTATGTCTTTCTATACCAAAGCCATAATGGATGGGGAGTTAGGTTCCCTCTTCCTCCCCTCCTATTAAAGGTACTCATGTACTTGAGGCTCTTCCTCCTTCAGTTTTGTATCAGCCTATTCAGAATAGTCATGGGCGTAGTTGCCATAAATGCTCGGCTGGGGGTGAACTTGGGGGGTGGATGGGATCCTGTTCTGCTATGACTTGAAATTAGTCCATGGGGGCAGATACTACCTTTAGGCTCAGGACCCCACCATGTATTTGGTGACACATATGCCAGACTCGGACAATGGTTAAGTCTAGGATCTCATCAAGGTCGGCGACAAAAGGGAGAAAGGCGAGGGGCCAGAGTATGATGGCCTTTTTTGCCCCAAAGTGCGAAGGGATCCAGGTGGGCATTGTACTAACTTTGCCACACTTTGGCTTTTATTCCTGTTTCTAACCTCAATGTTGCTTTCTTTTTGCAAAGGGATACAAGGCGAAAGAGGCCCAACCATTGAAGTCCGAGATAGCCTTTGAGGACTTAATCAAAGTTTGGTCTCATAATCCAATTGATCCCTTTGCTCGGATAG